ATTTATTGATTTTTAGAGGTGAACTATTTTAGATACTGATGTCCTCAAACTTTCTATTCTAATCAAATTTATAACTGTTTATATTTAACTTGGATCTGATTTTAATCTACTTTAACAAGAGAACATGTGCGACTATTTTTCTTTATTTCAATTCTGAGCATTTAATTCATAATCGAAAAAAACAATTACATCTAACAATCTTTTATGGGAATTCTCTGGTTTCCTCCCACTGCTAAAGACCCCTACGCGCAAGCAAGTTATTGAAATAAAATTGAACCATATGTTAGTCTCGATATGACCTAGTTTGTGTCGAGTGGACATAAAACCCCATTTCTCTCTCTCTTTATGGCAATGCAGATACTCTAAGTGTAAGACAAGAAATTGATCTGTCATGAAAACTCAACATTCAATTTGATTAATATCTGACGTTTTTGTACTTAAACATACTCAAAAACACACTTTTATGGATAACAATTACTATGGTTTATTTCACTGCGACGTTTCAATGTTTCACTGTTGAAACGTTGCAGTGAAATAAACCATAGTAATTGTTATCCATAAAAGTGTGTTTTGGATTATGTTCCAATTACTAAATGCCATTCAAAGAATATACTTAAACATACATCATGCAAGAGCTAAATCTGTCTATTGCAGGTCTTTCTTTAGGCCTGAAATGTTATCTAAATTAAAATTAGATATTAATTAACCTATCCAGACCATAATCAAGTCTAGATGGCATTGCTAGCCTGCGATCTTTACTGGATTATGAGCCGATTTACTGCATAACTTTCCTTCACGATTGAACGATTAAATGGATAATCGAAACTATGCTGTTTATCGTACTGACTTTAGTAATGATGATCGGTTCATAGTTGATCAATTTGAATGAGATTTTCAGCAAATTGCCTTTACATTATTTAGTTTTTAACTATTATAGTGAGAACTGCCAAGTCGTTATCGAATCTCCCATGATGTATCTTTAATGTTTTGTATCATATATTTAACAGGACCACATTTGACTTATCAGTATGTTTTTATTTATGCAGTGTAAACAGCAAATGAAAACACTGATGTACATGTATTTATAAACTCATTAATGTCTTGTGTTTTATTTAGCTGACATCAACCTTTCCAAAACAATAGCCGCTTGGAATATATGCCTGCTTTAATGCAACATATAATTTGACATGGAGATATTAATGTGTATTAAAGTCAATGTGACCCACAGCATCCTTTTCTAAAATATATAAAATGGCGTTGTATCTTGTCAACACAATACTTCACACATTTCATGACAGCCATATGATAATTTTTAATTCTAGGGAGGAGAATCTTACCACGACAGTAGCATTTAATCCTACTCTTCCAATTACAAGGTTTCAAATGTTTTTTTTTATGTTTATTTTTTAAGTGCACTTTGAACAAATTCACCTATCAAACATTGATATACATGTGTTAAGATTCATTATATGAGTTGAACTTAGTAGGGGTTTTTAAGGAGATCAGCAGATTTGGAATCTATGATAATTTAGTAGGGCTATGCTGACTAAAATATTGAGAGCGAGAGAGAGAGAGAGAGAGAGAGAGATGGGGTTTAATGTCCACTCGACACAAACTAGGTCATTTCGGGACTAACACATAGTTCAATTTTTATTTAAATAATGCGTTTTACGCGTAGGGGTCTTTAGCAGTGGGAGGAAAACGGGGAACCGGAGAAAACCAACGAGGTTGGACAGACGACCCTACTCCTTGCCACATACAACCGGGGATTCGAAACCACGCCAGTTGACTCATTGACAGACGTTATGATACAGTGCTCACATGCTAACCATTCGGCCACACCCCCCCCCTAAAATATTGTACGAAATTATTTCAATTTATTTTCTTCTTAAACGTGATGTCTCTTTAAGTCCCGAGTAAGAAAGTTCACATTTACAAATACATTTACTGTACATACATTAGTATCATTAGGGCTTCTCATATTACAAAACACTCATGATCATTTATGTAACCTAAATTCCTATTATTTACTAATTTAAAGAGGAAGTCTCAGATATAACAGGACCCAAAAATAAAAGGGAATTTATTCATTTCACTAAAATATATTTCGGACTGTGAAACTTTATATTTAATACAATTTGTTTGCATATATCTTGATCAACATGGTTAATGGCCACTTATTATCAAAGTCATCTTGATGACTTTTATGCTGGGACAGCTAAACCCATCTTTTGTAGCATCAAGTTTCTTGAAAAAGTACAAAGTTATAAAATATAATGCTTGAAAAAATGTCATTTTTGGAGTTCAGAATGCCCTGGTATTTAAAGTTATTGCTTCAAAAGTATAGTCAATTTTAAGTATGGGAACTATACAAACTGTGCAAACAAACAAACATGCCCAAATGTCTGACCCCTTGGCGTTAGGTTCAGATGAAATAATTACACTTCAAGTTTAAGCTCTGTACATGTATTCTCAATTACTTCCAGTAAACATACATATATAGCCTGAAGCTTAACTTAAAGCCACAATGCAGCAGAGGGCTAATAATAAGTATTTTCTTTACTTAAATTTAACAAAAGTATTGGTTGAAAATTGTTTTTTAGATAGTAAAAAAAGAAAATTGGGATAGATGCCATCTTCGTGGCCTCAATGCTCATGGATAGAAATGAGTTATCCTTCGGTCATCCACAGGCCACAATCAGTAGAAACTCAGGTGATCTTTAAATGACCATACAGTCTTTAAATTAAGAACACGTTTTAACTATTGAGATGTGTCTTCTGCCTTTAGAAGTAGCCGATAAATTGTTTGGGTATATCTGCATGCGAACGAAGTATAACAAAAGTTACATTGATATAAATGTACTCTCTGACATTTCTGAGTTCAAATATTTGATACATCATGTAGATTTTAACTTTTAACATTTGTAAAAGATTATCCTAGTGATAATTATTGGAATACTTTCTACCTGCTGGCTCAGATTATCACACATATTTTTAGCATTAGTAAATCAGATAAAGGCCTGGTATGATAAGCTTATAATCATATCATTAAAACAATGCTTACAGGTACAAGTGCAACATTTCAGATATTCCTGGATTAGGAATGAGATGAAAGCACGGATTAAACTTAAAAACAACATGTACAACTGGATATAAATAAATCCTGTCTCCCTGAATTTTTTTCTGAAAGCTGATCTGATGGTCCAATTTGACGTGCTCTAGAATGAAATATTTAATTTGACAATTTCACACAGATATGCTTTACATTTGGCATGTACTTGAGGCTTTTTATAGTAGTGCTTTTGTCTGGTTGGTAAAATCATTTATTCAATTTTATGTGATTTTACAAGGCAGTTACATTGTGAATTTTTAAATTAAAATGTATGCAAAATATGCCTCAAATCTGCTCAGCATAGTTGAGATATATAAATGTTCAAACTGCTGTACAATATTTGTATTAGTTTCCAAGGAAATATCTTACTCTAAGTCAGTAATTCAGTGCTTGGGTTTTTGATAATTAAAAGAGTTTATAATTAATTTGAATCTGATATTACTCAAAAGTGTAAGAATGATAATACCACTTTAAAATGATGTAAAATAAACCATTGTAGAGGCCACACATAAAGAATAAGATTATTTCTCACAGATTATGTCATTATCTATCAGTGTAAAACAGTTTAACACGTTAAATCTAGTTTCTTGGGTTTACTTTTAAGAAAACAAATACTGTACATTTTAAACAATGTAATACATGTGTCTTTCATAATTAAATCTGTAGCTATATCATTTCAAATCACGTTTCTCAGTTTGGTCATACATGTACATGACCTGATAGAAAAATAACATTCACCAATCTGAAACCAAATGTAATTTATATGAATAACAAAAAAAATTAAATTAAATAAGGTCAACAATTATTTGAGCCATTCTGAATTGCTTTCAAACTTTAACACCTGTATATTGTGAAAGTGGAATCTCTAAAAGAAATATAATTTCACAGACCAGTTAGAATGAAATTAATATTAGAAAAGGGAGACTGTCAGTGAATTATTTGCAAATTATAATTCAAACTTACTGCATGGGGTGCCTACATTCATTATCCATTATTTAATGTAACTGTATTCATTTACTTTACAAGTATTTTCTTGAAAACATTGAGCAGGAGAGAATACTGTTTGAAACATCACAGAAATCATTAATATTAATTTTTCTTCTATGTAAACTTATACCAATTTATTGCTCTATCCATTTACTAAATGCCTCTTTATAAAAGATTATTATGTTTTAACATTAGATCAAGACAATAACTCAGTATTATAGGTTGGGCCTATATATATACGGACCACTACTATCACCTTTTTTAATAAAAAAAATCATAAAATATATAATGTTAATAATATGACATCTTAAGTTTTAAATAAAAGATCTTTCTAAAAAAAAACATCATCTGTCCATCTGAAGTTGGCCATCCTTACATGTATATATACAATCATAAAATAATACTGGAACATATCTTTTACTTTTGTACATTTTTTGCTGTTGTACATTTTTTCAAATATATAGGCCCTAGTTTAATTGTAATAAAGCAATGGCACATGCCTAAAACAATAACAATGAATTAACATTCCTAACATTTGTTATCGTAAACTTGGTCTGATGCAGGCCTACCCTACATTTAAGGGAAATTTTATAAAACATCATAATACTGGGAGAAAAAAAAAATTGCTCCACTATTTACCACCATTGTGACTGGAATAAGTTCAGCTGATCCCTATTTTTATTTTTAAATTTATTTTTACTGTAGTAAGCTAGTAGCAAGAGTATATGAAAAAATCCTTATTTATAAAATCTCTATTGCATATATACTTATTTATATTTATAGACAATATGCATTGACTAGACCTGATAAAAAAACATAGGACTATCTTGACGTCCACGATCATCAATCCAGAAATAAGCGCAATTAATAGCACATACATAGTATTATAGTTTATACTAACCGGGTACTGAATATATTGCTTCTGCCATTCTGGTGTAAGATGAGCTCGAAGATGCTCTGCAAATTTCATGACTGGAACTGTTCTCCTTCAATGTAATTATTAAGTGTATCCCGACATTTAGCTGGTTGTTATTGAAATAGATATATTAGATAATGAACAGCACAGCCTAAAGGAAACAAGAAACCTGTGAAAGGTTTGTTGTTGTCGGAAGTTCTCTGAATAATAAATTACAAATTGAAGTTGTCTCCCGTAGATAAAGTAACACAGAGTTTCGGTTATCCAGTCCTAGAGATAAAACGCAAGGATGGCAAACTGGTCCGTGATAAAAGGAGAGAGGGAGAGAGAGAGAGGAGAGAGAGAGAGAGGGAGAAAACCAGCGGCTGCCAGGCAGGATACGCCCAAATTTTGCAAGAGATGGATAGAGAACAAGCTAAAAACAAACGGGATTTTTGTACAATCAGGGGCAATAATCCAGAAAGTTATGGTCTGAAATGCGCAAATATCAAAAAGTAAAAAGGACTGTCGTTCGGATATAAAGATATGTTTCAAGTTTCATCATAATCGGATAAAAATTGTGAGCTTTAGAGGGCCCACAACCTTCGTAGCATACTTTTACACAATTTGCGTACAAAGTGCGGCCATTTTGTTGAGCGCAGTTTCATTTCCATTTTCCCGAAATGCGAATTTAACCATCATTATGGTGGGAATGGTGATATATTTAAACGGTTTTTAAAATAGGAAAAAAAAAATTGTGACCTCCAGAGAATCCGCATGCTAAAAATGCAATTTTTCGAACAATCAGGACTTATAATCCAGTAAGTTACGTTCGGATATACGCGATTATCAAAAGGAACCAAGATCTTAGTGTGTAATGCTGATATATTCACAAGTTTGTTTTTTTTTAAATCAGATAAAAAATTGTGACCTCTACATGGACCGCAACGTGATTTTTTGTACATTCAAGGGTCATAATTCAGGAAGATACAATCCGATACGCGCGAATATCGAAAGGAACCAAGATCTTTGGGTTATAAACATGTATTTCAACTTTCATCAAAATCGGAAAAAAAATTGTGACCTCCAGAGGATCCACAACCCTGATACACAATATTTTGACACTATTTGCGAACGAGGGGCGGCCATTTTGTCAGTCAGTTTCGAACTCAATCATTCTAAGGGTGTAACAGTGATATATTCAAACGGTTTTGTAAATCGGATAAAAATTGTGACCTCTGGGGTCCACAAGCTAAAAACGCGATTTTTCGTACACTCAGGGGCCATAATTCAGGAAGTTATGGTCCGAAATGCGCGAATATCGAAAGGAACGGAGATCTGTGTGTTATAAACATGCATTTCAAGTGTCATCAAAATCAGAGAAAATTGTGACCTCCAGAGGGTCCACAACCCTGATACGCAATATTTTGACACTATTTGCGAGCGAGGGGCGGCCATTCTTTCCGTCAGTTTTTGTCCGATTTTTACGAAATTCGAACTCAACCATTCTTAGGGTGTAACGGTGATATATTCACACGTCTGTTTTCAATCGGATAAAAATTGTGAACACTAAGGGGTCCACAAGCTAAAAACGCGATTTTTCGTACAATCAGGGGCCATAATTCAGGAAGTTATGGTCCGATATGCGCGAATATGGAAAGTAACCGAGATCTGTGGGTTATAAACATACATTTCAAGTTTAAACCAAATCGGATAAAAATTGTGACCTCTACAATGTTCACAAGCTAAAAACGTGATTTTTCGTAAAATCAGGGGCCATAATCCATGAAGTTACAGTCCGATACATGCCAATATCGAAAGGAACCAAGATCTTAGGGTGATAAACCTATATTTCAAATTTCATTGAAATCGAATAAAAATTATGACCTGTGGGCGTATAAAAAGGGGTTTAACGTCCACTCGACACAACTAGTTCATTTCGAGACTAACACATGGTTCCATTTTAGTTCAGTAATTCGCTTGCGCGTACTCGCGTAGGTTCTTTAGAAGGGGGGGGGGGGCGACAAAAAGAATGACAGTTTAGTTTATTAGTAACGCTATAACCAGTCTAATGTTTAATAAATGCAAATCATAAAACGTATTAAATGTTCTCATTATTACAGCGTATTCTAATTTTCTCTCTTATATGTACAGTAGGGCGCATCAAACCCCCTCATATCGTCAGATTGTATGTACAAGTAGATCGCTTAAAATGTTCCACTTGTGGGTAGAACAAATTCTGTAAAATTTTGCGACGATCTGGTTATGTTTATGTGGTCAACCCAACAGCCTGATAAAATGGCTACTCCAAGTGTGTGTGTGTGAGTTAGTTGTATTTTATGCCAGCTTCCACCGACGTGATATCGCGGACAGCTACTCCCTGTACACAAATAGTGTTAAAGTATGTAACACCAAGGTTGCGGATATGTTTATATCACAAACATCTTGGTTGGTTCGATTTGCTTGCAAATCTGACTGTAACTGCCTGCTGAATTATGGTCCCTATTGTACGAAAAAGAAATCTTGATTTTAGCTTATGGTCCCGCTAGAGGTCACAATTTCTATCCGATTGCAAAAATTACACCCTAGTGATGGTTGAGTTCGAATTTCGTAAAATGGCCGCCCATTCTACGCCAATAATGTAAAAGTATGTAATACCAAGGCTGTGAACCCTCTAGAGGTCACAATTTTGATGAAACTTAAAATATATATTTATATCCCAAAGATCTCGGTCTCCGCCATCATTCTCCCAGTTGGTAGATAACAGAAATAGGACGAACATTCCCATTTTATTCATTCATTCCCCAGCTACAATTACCAAAATATAGTCACCTAAAACATTATTGAAAAGAATGTTCCTTCTTAAGCTCTATCCGATCATTATTCCACGTGTTTTACTTATCATCAGAAAGGAATTAACATTATATACAAAGCTAAACATATCTTATCGACCATTTAACATTGATTGATTTATCTATCTTTAAAGTCTCGCTCTTGTTGATAAACAATTTTAATTTAAAGAGAGAGAGAGAGAGAAATGGGGTTTAACGTCCACTCGACACAAACTAGGTCATTTCGGGACTAACATATGGTTTAATTTTATTTCAATAATTCGCTTGCGCGTAGGGGTCTTTAGCAGTGGGAGGAAACCGGAGGAACCGGAGAAAACCCATGAGGTTGGACAGGCGACCCTACTCCTTGTCACGTACAACCGGGGATTCTAAACCACGCCAGTCGACTCAATGACAGACTTTATGATACAGCGCGCGCACGCTAACCATTCAGCCACCCACCCCCCTTTAAATTTAAAAAATAACGGAGGAAGCTCTTAGCTTGTAGTTGCACACAATTATTGATTAGCATGCTTCAATCATAACTAAACATCGTTGCACCCGGTCAAAACAATTATCGTCAAAATTAAGTTACCGAAATCCGAACAATCAGATTCTTTGGTGGACGGGTAGTAAAAAGTGAAAGGAAAATAATATATAATTTTTTGGGGTGAAAAAACACCAAACATTTTGCCTTCCAGTCGGCAAAATACAGAGCGCGAAATCCCACGACTTTTTGGTCTTACTAGGCGACTGTATGACATGATCGCCCGTTATACGCAATATGAAACATTTATCACCGATGTCTTAGACGCTCTTGCTCCAAATGTTTAAAAAACTGTGACTGACAAACCTAGGGCCCCATGGTACAGTGAAGCGCTATCTGACCTGAAAAAAAATCGTCATTGCGAAAGGAGATGATTTAAATCCGGACTGGTTGTACATCGTGAGATATTCACATCAAAACAACACTATTATTTTCGACACTTAGATGCAGCCAAACAATATTGCCACAAATTAAGGAATTATTTAGAATTATCGATCAGTTATCGGGTGGTAAAGGTGCTGATGTGTCAATAACACACACTATAACATCTTTGGAAACCATCATATATGCGAGGCCTTTGTTGATTTTTATTTTTTTTCTCCGACATAGTAAGTTATTTGTCTACGGAATGGAGCAACACCATTGACGAGTTCTCCACTCTTCCCAACCATACATTCAGTTTTTGCTCAGTAACTCCGGATGTTGTTATACACACGATTGCCCCACCCCACCCTCCCTTCAAAGGCATCCTCGCTGAAATCTGATTAAAATACAGATCTATATTTCGTTTCGTTTTTTATACTTTCGATGGCCTACACTACATGAAGATCTGGCCGGTTGTAGTGGAAGGTCGTCAGAGGTCATACGAGCGGATTTTGACCCTATGACGTCAGACATTTGGTTAACCAATCCGCGTTGATGTTTCTAGTGGGTTACCCACAGTTCCGTGCACCTCACGCCAAAAACTCGCCGTAACAGTTCGTTTCATTGGCTAATCCCGCACATCATCCAGAACGCGGGTTATTTAACAACTCTTCCAGATCCTAGTGTAGTAAAGACAAGTAAAACGAAATTTTGAACTATAAAAAACGAAAAGAAATGGTATCTGTGTTTTAATCAGATTGTGCTCTCTGGATATTTTATCAACCAATCTACTTAAAGATTGTCTCCCAGAACTAGCACCAACTCTAGTATGTTTATTTAATTCGTCACTCCACCCGCTATTCGTTGATTTAAATGTGCTGTAGTGAAACCAACTCTTAAAGAAGGCGGGATTTCTATTCAAAACACTGGAACTTATAAAGTGTGCTTTCATCGCCTCCTCCCCTCTCTACTCAAATACAACTGTATTTAACAATCATTAACAATAAATAGTATTATTTATTTATTATACATGTGCGTCATTAAAAAGGGAAAACATGTATTATTTAATTACGGGGTATCTCACTTAACAAATGAATCAATTTCAGTGTCGAATACGAAATGTGGCACAGTTCTGTTTGTGGGTGGCCTTATACGTTTACGGAATACAGTATTTTCAGATTAATTTTCATAACATTAATTACTACCATGTTTCATTGTTTGAACGTTTTTGGTGCCAAATATGTCATTTTCAGGGAAGGGACATAACTGCGATCGGGGCACACCTTCGTATAAATATGATGGACTGACATGGCAAAGATTTGTGAAAATAAACGAAGACGGAGGACTGACATGGCAAAGATTTGTGAAAATAAACTAAGACAGGATATGTACGGAGGAAATGGTTTGAATATGGTTCAAGGCAAGTTGAATATTGTAATTTTAATATCTTTGCAATACTTTTATTCGGGATCAGGGTGTTTATAAATAGTTTTTGTTTACACTAACTGTGTTGGAAGTCAGACAGGCGACTCCATCTCCAAATAGGGGGTGGGGTGTTTTGTCCTGCGACGACTGTTCCAATGAAGACCGGCATACACCATACAGTGAGCTATTAATAGAGACTTTTGGCAAGGGAAATTTTTCCATCCGTATTACTCAGAGCATACAGGGTCTGGCCAACTGATGTCATGGACGCAATTTTGTTACCCATTCTTACGTTGCAGATAGAGTCACAGTACAGTGTGTGGCCCATTTATATGTTTTAGATCTGCGCAAATGTATTTTTATGTTCACTCAAGTGTAGGGAGAGAGAGAGAAATGGGGTTTAACGTTCACTCAACACAAATAAGGTCATTTCGGTACTAACATATGGTTCAATTTTATTTCAATAATTCGCTTGCGCGTAGGGGTCTTTAGAAGTGGGAGGAAACCGGAGAAAACCCACGAGGTTGAATAGGCGACCCTTCTCCTTGTCACATACAACCGGGGAATCAAAATCACACCAGTTGACTCAGTGACAGACCTTATGACGCAGCGCGCACGTGCTAACCATTCTTCGTCCTCCCCCCGCCACTCAAGTCTCAAGTGTAGGGGTAGACAATAATTTCAATAAATCAATTAATCACAATATCTAAATTTTATTGACAATATTTATTTTTTTATTATTTCAACATTAAAAATACCGTGGATCAAACATTCTTCAGATTTCAGTGCTAATAGAAATGAAATGAAATGGGTTTACGTCCTGTTGTTCTGCGCCGACTGGGTGCGTGAAGACGGGTATACGCTATACAGTGTGCTGTGATGGAAATTTTGCCAGGACAGCGGCACTACGACCTACTCTTATATCGAATTCCAACTGCTAAGGGATCTTTTACGTGCACTCCAATATGTACACGGGACCTCGATTTTTTTTGGTTCCATCTGAATGACTATACGATGCCCCCTGTGAGGCCTTCTGTCCTATACACCACTGCCAAGGGGGAACCACGCTCAAAAATTCCGATGAACTTTCTCGGCCAATCCGATTCCTAGAAAATTCTTAAGCACGTTCTTGTGCTTAGATTTTAGGTAGACTTTGCATTTAAGTAAACATATCTATCTTGCGTTCCCAGAAAATTCTTAAGAAGGTTCTTGTGCTTAAATTTTAAGTAGACTTCAGTGTAAGTACAAGCACGTTATTATGTGTTCCAATCTAAGCACAAGTCTCAAGCAAGGTATACGGCTTGCTTACCAACCGTACTGCTTCAAACGAGATGGCTGACCATAGAGTAATCCGACGGCATTTCCTACATCTTTTGATACCAAAGAGACAAGCTTTTGAAAATTTCGCTTCTTAATACCCTGAAAGCGTTTTATTTATTTATATCAATTAGTAAACAATACAAACAAACGGTCTACTTTAAGATGTGCTTGCGTTGTTTTTTTTTTAGCTTGCGGCACATTTTATATGTGTATAGGGGACTTGTCAAATGCATCTAAATGCTCCTTATAAAGATTGTGCTTCTTTATTTTCATTTGTGTTTAAAAAACAAAGAACTGACGGCATATTTATTGTTTTATCCCCCGAATCTTTAGAACATACATCCAAATGCATCCCGATTTAAGCATATCCGGTATCAAACATGTCCAAAAGAACAACAACTACCAGGTGCTTATCCCCCTGAATCCCATCAAGTGCACCCTGGGCCCACAGCTTGTTATATCTATACTAATATTTGTGACTGTCGTTTGTCTGTCTCTCTGTCTGTCTGTTCGGGATTGGCGGCTACACTAGGTCTGCCCCGAGTCTGAAATTTGGGGTATAGGGGTAGCTCGGACCGGGGAGTAACATAGGCCAGGTGGCGTTAGTCTACCACTTCCGGTTTCGGGGTTATGACCCCCGAGCGAAGCCGGGCATTCTTCTAGTACTCACTAAATACGGTCGATCGTTTTTCAAAACGCCAAATGAGTCAACGCTGTTGTTTGTTGTTTATTACAAATTTAACGCCCAATACATAAGGCATTATTTTATGGACAGGTTGATTTAATTAAGTTTTTTACTTATGAAGGAGTAACGTATAGAAGATGGGTAAAAACACTAAAAAATAAAAAGTTCTTGCATATCTAAAAGTCACTTTAAAACACAGTTTTGAAATTGCTGTCGTGACAAGAGAGGGCGGGTCATCTTCTCACTTTGTCATAATTAAAACAAGTTAAAACAGGAGGTCCAGCTGTTTGATGCCATTTGCAGTGGATTGAAAAAAAAACCCCTTGGGAAAAAGAATCCGCTTCATTATCCAGTTATATAGTGCCTGTCGAGTGGACGTTAAACCCCATTTCTCTCTCATTATCCGGATTATTGTAAACAAGTAAGTCGTTAAACTCCACTGCACCCATTCATTTATTCATTCAAGATTCGCTGTCATTGAATGAAACGTAAAATATTATAAATAACCATAACATATTGCTAAACCAACCTAATAAAATATCACCGCGTATGTTTTATTTGTTTTTTTTCCACTGTTGCACTGTATTATTAAAGTTAAAGTAGATGTTACCTGAGTAATATCCGGAATAGTCTAATTGACGTCACAGAGATCCTGAATTGCACAATAAATATTAACTTTCAATTGCAATCCTTATATCGGGATTATATAAATCCGTGTACTATCAAATTCTACATTATTGTCGAGACCTCGGTAGCGTCTTTAAAACAATGAAGTACGCGTTTACTTGGTGAGTGGAAATTTATTTCTTAGTGTATATAAATTACACATACATTTAATTACACATTAGATTTAATAACATAACTACCTACATATTTACCTGTTGACAGTAAATGTCTTATTTTAATTTCAGACCATCATTTTGTCATTTTCTAAAGATCAATTTATGTCCTATTTTGATTTCAGTTCATCAATTTTATTATGTTATTTTCTAAAGATCACTTCATTACTTAACGTATTCTATCGGTCTAACTAATTACTTCTCCAATAAGTTATTTGTAATTTTGATGACAAATCATGAATTGTAGCCCCTCCTTGGTAAGAAACCAATGAATAAAATCAGGGGATAGAATAAGAAAGATAGGCTGATTATTTACATAATATTCATAAATCTACATTTTAGAAGTTTTACGATCATCACCGGGACATATTTAATATTATGGGTATATCTGTGGCAATCATACGTTTGATTCAAACATGAGTTTCCCTTTCATAGAGAGTTAAATGTCATTTTGGGACTAACATATGGTTCAAATTTATTTCCATAATTCCACTTCCAGTGAGAGAAAACTCCCGAGGTTAGACAGGCGATCGTTGTTATGTTAAGGTTTTGAATCGAAACCACGCCACTTGACACAATAACCACTCCGTTAGACCACTTGATTCACCCACACCCCATCTCCTTCACGGGATTAAGTGTCGTTAAGCTTGACACATTACAAGCGAGAGAGGGAGAGAGAGAGAGATGGGCTTTAACGTCCACTCGACACAAACTAGGTCATTTTGGGACTAACATATTATGGTTTAATTTTATTTCAATAATTCGCTTTGCGCGTAGGGGTCTTTAGCAGTGGGAGGAAACCGGAGGACCCGGAGAAAACCCACGAGCTTGGACAGGCGACCTTACTCCTTGTCATGTACAACCGGGGATTCGAAACCACGCCAGTTGGCTCAATGACAGGCCTTATGATACAGCGCGCACGTGCTAACCATTCGACCTACAGAGATCTGTCAGTGTATGCTTACAGGGCTTTGGATACAAAAATAAAGCTCTATCAACTCGTTCAAGTGAGAAGTGTTCTAGAAAATATGCTAACCATGTCCTGTGAACTACATATGTCACTGCTTCTGGTCAACTGGGGCAGTGATTTAGACCTGGATTTTATATATATATAGTATCTTACGAACAAAGATGTTGAATGTCAAAACCAGACTCTGGTAGAAAATCTGCATATGAAGTCATGATAATAATAATAAAATCTTAGAACAATACAACATAATTTGATGGGTAACACCTTGATCCGCATCCGTTAAGAAATTATTATATTAAACCAATGTAAACTTTAAATTACCATGATTGAAATTGGTATTGATCGATATGGGGCTTACAAGTTGATTAGGTCTAGTAATTCCGAAGCGACAAAAAACCGGGGGGATTAGATAGCCGAATGGTTAGCACGTGCGTACTGTACCTATCATAAGGCCTGTCATTGAGTCAACTGGCGTGGTTTCGAGTCCTCGGTTGTACGTGACAAGGAGTAGGGTCGCCTGTCCAATCTTGTGGGTTTCCTCCGGGTCCTCCGGTTTCCTCCCACTGCTAAAAGACCCCTACGCGCAAGCGAATTATTGAAATAAAATTAAAAACCATATGTTAGTCCCGAAATGACCTAGTTTGTGTCGAGTGCACGTTAAACCCCATTTCTCTCTCTCTCTCGCGACCAAAAACCGAGGCTTCCCGGATCAGTCAGAGGATTGGTAACATATCCGCTTTAAACTGAATAGGGTTGGGAAGTTGAATGGATAAAGCGTGTGTGTTGCATCATAAGGTTTGTCATTGAGCCAAGTGGCGTGGTTTCTACTGCCCGCTTGTGCTTGGCAAGGTGTGCCGTCGCCTGTCCAGCCTCGTGGGTTTTCTCGGGGTCCTCCCCTACACGCAAGCGAATTATTGAAATAAAACTGAAAAATATGCCAGTCTCGGAATTACCTAGTTTGTGTCGAGTGGACATTAAACCTCTCTCAATACCTTATTACTTGCACATTTACATCTAGCTGTAATGCCTTGTTGTTATATAAACGTCCGTGGTGGTACCATGTTTTTATTTTTCAGGATTTTAATTGTACTGGAGTGTACATGTATAATCGATGTACAGGGGTATGGGGGATACAGAGACAAAATACCAAATGGTAAGAGAGTGCCACATCCCTGTAAACCGAATTACATCTGGAATGGTGTTGGACATCAAACATCTGCTGGGGGTGGCTATCGAAATCCTTTTGGGGAAGACTTTGCGAAAGCTGGACATGTAAGGATCTCTATTTGTAAAATTTCAATCCCATGAATGTATTTGATGACACGGGTGTGATGAACTGGGAATATACAAGATAGAGGGATTCTATGGAATGTAATTTAAAATTGTTTATTACGGAACGACGTTTTACTAGGTTTCATTAAGATTCGAGAAGCCTAATCGAAACATCTCTCGGTAATAAACAGTAATTGTATTCCATTCGTTGTATTCTAACCAAATAATCAAATTTTTTTAAAAATGTGCTGGTTTATAGCTTCGAAAGACATCAGTTAATATCTGCACAAAAATATACCTCCTCTGAGCTTTGTGTTTCCTTGGTATTGTTTATCTCTGTTTTATACAACATTTTAGTTATGGACAAAAGAGTTATGTGGGGAAGATTCTGATGGAGATGGTTTAACAAATGGTCATGAATTAGGTGACCCAAATTGCACTTGGTCTCAGGGCAGTCTGGACCCAGATAGTACGAGAATCTCACACCCAGGTATGTCATTATTCTTGTTCACTTACATACGGGTCATCTGCTGAACACCATTTTGGACTTTTACTTCTCTACAACCAATAAAGACCCCGAGGCCTAAGCGAATTATCGAAAGAAAAAATTTAAAGAGGATTTCTTCATGATGTTTTACCTTTTTAGGAAGTCGTGAGTTCAAATATACTAGACAATATTAGATTTTCAAGCCGAATCTGGTGGACTTTCTCACTAAAAGTTCTACATGAAAATATAATATTCTTCTTGAAGAAATCACGCAATTTCCGGAATGTATATTTGTCCGCAATGAATTTACCGACGTCCGTATCATTCTGTATATGTTGTAGGCGTCTGTGAGCCATGGAATGACCCAAAATGCCAGAAGCAATTTTCATGGATGATGGAGGCCTGTAAACCGGAAAAGTTTACTTGCGATGCACTTAACGAAGTCGGTAAGTTTACAATTTGTATACAGAATTAACACACCTTTTGGGGTTAGTGAATTTCCCAAATAGATGTATAATAATATAAGGTGTTCTATATGGTACGTATGTTATAAAATAGATACATAACCTACCTACCATATTTATAGCTGAATAGGTATATTGTACTGATAAATAGAAAAACTTGGTATATACAAACCAATGTAGGCTACTGTTTTTGAATAATGTTTTTCAGTCCAGAAAATTTATGGAGATGGGAAACAAAGTTATCTTATTATTCTTGTTTAAGTTTTTTATTTTTAAGTATCTTGGTCTTTCTGATCTTACCCGCGACTTTTACTTGTTTCACGTGATTATCATTTTGCTTATTGTTTTGTATTATCGTCGTGTTTTTTTTAAATATGTTCATAGGTGTAAAGAACATGACAATAAACTTCCCAAATACATCAGTACCTGTCGAAGAAACGACCTATGTGTGTATGGAATTTGAACTTGATAATACTGGAGATTATCATATGGTAGCCACTCAACCCATTATTGATAACTTGAATGTTATGCACCATGCTGTTATATTTGGATGTGAAACTGGTAAGTAATTCTTAATCATACTAACACACAAACATCCTTCTGTGGCTGCGTGAGAGTCAGTCCTTTTTAAACCGACTCTCGTGTGAGATATTTCCTGAAACCATCCTCAGTCAGCATTCTTAATTAACAAAAATAAAGACATGTTGGAAACTAATTACACTCATCAAATTGTGCTTTAAACATTAGATTTGATACAAAATTTGTTATTTCAGTCTGTCAAAATAAGAATATTCTTGCCGATTTCATAATGTGTTATTATAGGCACACTGATCTAGATTATTTCTGACCATGCACCATAAAATGATTTTACTAAAAAGCATATTTGTTCAAAAACTATTGAAATCCAAGATTCCCATTACCTACGTTCTATTGATTTTACGTCGCCATCATGTTTCTCTTGAACATCGTACGCTTTTACCTAAACGATATGTCATTTCGATTTGGCTTCGTGCAATACTTATTTGTACACAAGTGGTTCATTGCTCTAATTCACCAGTTGATTGTACTCTAGTGTATGGACTGTATTAATATCAGTGAATCAAATGAAAAATCATGATCCCGAGTATTACTTCGGTGGCTAGAGATTATCAAATGGTTCATTTCTACAAATAATTTTAAGAAATCTTTTTTATAAGATATTTGTATGACTCATGATGATCACAATTTGGGTTTTCTCCATGTCCTCCGGTTTCCTCCCACCATTAAAAGACCCCTACGCGCAAGCGAATTATTGAAATAAAATTGAACCATGTGTTAGTCCCGAAATGACCTAGTTTGTGTCGAGTGGACGTTAACCCCCCCCTCTCTCTCTCTCTCTCTCTCTCTCTCCATAGTGACCTATGGAGTCGTGTGCTTGTGCATACAAACTTTCTCATAGATAATTATTTTAAATTTCAGATACTCATCCAATTAGATCAAGACCTCATCGATGTGGAATGGTAGCGAGCAATGAATGTAGTCAAATAATAAATATTTGGACCTTAGGTATTGCTGGTGATTGCGTTCATGATAAAATCGGTTTTAGAATTGGAGCCAATGGCATTCGAAGGGTTGCCTTACAGGTAATTCACTGGGGACCTATATAATTGTGTGGGCGTTGTTATTTCCACGGAGGCCGTGGTGGTGGTGCCTTGCCTTAAGGGAACTAGCCTCTCGACGTGTATGTCACGGGTTCGAATTCCGGATTGGGCTCAATATAACCTTATGGGTCGTTATAGCCCTGTTTCCACTGATCAAGAAAGTGTGTCTAATCGTTCGGATGAGACGCAAAAACAGGGTTCACCAATAAACAGATTGATATGTCCTAATTTACATGGTTTTGAAATAGTAAAATTTGGTTCTCGTAAGAAAAGAGCATTCGGAAATTTTGGATTTTTAAACCGACTCTCGTGTGAGATATTTCCTGAAACCATCCTCAGTCGGCATTCTTAATTAACAAAAATAAAGACATGTTGGAAACTAATTACACTCATCAAATTGTACTTTAAACATTAGATTTGATACAAAATTTGTTATTTCAGTCTGTCAAAATAAGAATATTCTTGCCGATTTCATAATGTGTTATTATAGGCACACTGATCTAGATTATTTCTGACCATGCACCATAAAATAATTTTACTAAAAAGCATATTTGTTCAAAAACTATTGAAATCCAAGATTCCCATTACCTACGTTCTATTGATTTTACGTCGCCATCATGTTTCTTTTGAACATCGTACGCTTTTACCTAAACGATATGTCATTTCGATCACAAACATCGATCCCAGAATGGCTTCTAGCCTACATTATTTTTTTAATAGTCTAGATTTTTATTGAAAAAACACATTTGTGTCCTTACTTTTGTTAAAGTTAAGTGATTATTGATTGAAACTTCAATGGTCGCGGATACTATGTTTGACATTATTTCAGAGTGCTCTTATATATGGTCGAAGGAAATATATCTGATTGTCCATTAGGATCGATGGTACTATATATGATTGTCCTTCAGGATCGATGATACGATATCTGATTGTCCTTTAGGATCGATTGTATCCGATTTGGTCACCCTCTAGGATCGATCGTACTATATTTTATTGTTCTGTCTTTCAGTTTCACTGGAACAACCCGACTCTGAAAACAGATTACACGGATGCATCTGGAATGATAATATATTACACAGACACTAAACGTGAGAACGATGCTGGTATACTGACTATTGGTAGTTCATATTTTGAAATCCCACCACGATCTCCTGGCTATGAAGTATCCTCCACATGCCCTGGAAGTTGTACATCATCTTTTATTACTGATAAAATACACATCGTTTCAGCTGTTAACCACATGCATTATTTAGGTGAGTACCGATGAAATACATATGATATGGTTTACAAAAGAAAACGCACTGCGACTGGGGAGTAGGATCATGAGCATGGGTAACCTGGATGTTGTGTACAAAGATTCTGAAGAGACCGTTAAGCGCCCAATCAACCTACAGTATGTCGTTCTTTCAATTCTCCGCTTCAATTTTCCTAATTCAACTTTGAACCTCTACCACACCCCTGTAGCGGGCAACTGAATAGTGTGCCCATACGATATGTCAAGATTTAGATATTAGAGACTTTTGGCAAGCGGAATTTTCCCATCCGTATCACGTATCCATATCGTATACGGGATACGTTGCTTCAATGTAGTTTTAGAGTTTTGGCAGATTATCGCGTCGCGTACGTGTGCGTCGATCAGCTGAGCTTAGTTCTATTACAGCATGACAGATATCTACCAAGATCACCATCTGTACTAGTCAAGTGCCTATTAGAGCCGGGCTATTAAAATAAAATTAATGTCGAATCTGATTTAAAATCTTCGACTTCGACTCGACTGCAATTTTTGGTTTCACTAATGTATCATTTTAGAAAGTTTATACCTCTTTACCAGATTTGCAAGGTCCCGCCTCCCTAAATCACATCAAATATACACCTTCGTGTTCTAGAATACACAAAGATTCATAATAACGCTACGATACAACATTTCAGCGTCTAAAAGTAGCAAAAAAGACGGTAAAAGGACACGACAATGTTATACGGACCTTTTCCGTACGAAAGCTGTTCGATACGTGCTGCCGTATCCGTGTGCCGTATCACGTATGAGAAATACACACACATTGATGACGTCACACGCAAAATCCATACGGATACGCGATACGGACCAGAAAATTACCCTTGCCAAAAGTATCTATTGGATGGTTCTCAAGCGGTGGGAGACAGGATTAAATTTTACACAAACCCTTGGTGAATGGTCTCTTGACATAGAAGTTTTAAGTTTCCTTTAAATACCCGATACATGTTTTGGATTTTAGGTGCCTCCCAGAAAATTGAGCTGTTTCGAAATGGTAAGAAAGTAAGAGATATAACAAGAGATGCTGAATTTAATTATGACAGTCCTGTGGTTTACGAGTAAGTTATAATAAGCATATAATTTTGGTAGGAAAGGATATTGGATATCGGATATCGGATAATAGTTGTTATCAAATGTCACGCAGAACTCACGCCTACCCGGTTTTGTATATACGGAATTTCAGCTGAGAGGAGGAACGTTCCAAAATAACTGACTTTACAATTCACAACTAGTATCTGGTGTTTCGGAACACCCGTCAATTGCCCTCGCTCAAACGGTGGTCAGTCCACTATACCTCACACAATCTGTCGCAGTTCACTGAATCAAAGAAGTACATAATCAATCAAGCGCATACTACTGTACATTGAGTGTCGGTTTCTGCTTAACTTTCCCAGACTACAAAAGTACATACAAAAATTGTTCGTTTTGAATGCCATAAATAACTATATTTTCCAATTAGTACTATGTCCCCTTGGTTTCTCTGGTTTATTACAACCGTGGCTGATTTCATGAGGCGTAAGCGCTAGTCATTCGCCTGCTTAAGTGATGCAGCTCTTAATGATTGAGATAAATTTTAGTTTATGACACAGCTACCTTTTAAGGATTAAATTAATATAAATAATATTAATGACTCTGCATCGAAAAAAAATCATTAATTGCTTATCTGTGTGGTTACATTTAGGGGTTGTCTAGGACGTGAACTCAAATTGTTTTTACTTTTTCAGATTTCCTTCAGCAATAGAAGTTCTGCCAGGTGATACCCTAAAAACTACATGTATTTTCAACTCTATGAATAGAGATAATGTTACTTTTTGTGGAGATGCCACAAGTGACGAAATGTGCTTCGGGTTTCTAACATTTTATCCGAAGGCTAACACCAACAATTATGTTTTTTGTAACACGTGGAAAAGCATTCCTTATTGTGCGATAGACCGTGGTCAGATATTCGATGGATGTGATCTTAAAAAATATTCTAGATATACCAAAGAATCCGCACAACTTTTTTTAGCCCTTAATACTAGCTGTTTTAACGTATGCACGCCAGAGTGTATGGCTGTCATAGAGAGCAATCCGTGCCTTAAAGGTGATCCAAGAGATTTCTTGGACTTTGTTAACAGTTATTCAGATCTCGGAAGAGAAATGAAACGGCTGTATGCACAGTGCAATGATAAATTAACCACTAAACTTACAACACCCGCAAATGATGATACCACTTACACCACTAAAATTAATGTTAGCTCAACTAGTTCCACAAATCACCACATTTACACCACTCAGCCTGTTAATGGTGGCGATGGTGGTATCACAAATAACAATACCACTGATACAACAACTGATGTTAGCGAAACTGGTACCACGAATCATTCTCTTTATACTACTCCGACTGTTAATAGTGGTGCCGGTGGTACCACTTACACAACTAAAATTAATGTTAGCTCAACTAGTTCCACAAATCGCCACATTTACACCACTCAGTCTGTTAATGGTGGCGATGGTGGTATCGCAAATAACAATACCACTGATACAACTGATGTTAGCGAAACTGGTACCACGAATCATTCTCTTTATACTACTCAACCTGTTAATAATGGTGCTGGTGGTGCCACAAATAATGATACCACAGATGTTGATGTTAAAGACGATAATGCAAACAATGATAATGGTAGCCAAGCCATAAGACCAATTAGGGTTTTATTGGCAGTTCCCTTGCTCATTATTTTCATATCGACATTGATTTCACTGTGATGAAAAGTTTTAGTTTTTTTTATTTGTTTGTTTAGCATCTTAGAATGTTTCACGCAATTCAGCAGAAGCTCGATCAAAATATCTTATTTGGCGTTCAGTCAGTCAAGCGTTATTTTGAATAATTAAATTTGTTCTCTGCAAAAAAGAAAAAAAGAAATGTTTTGAATTAAAGGGTTTAATTGGATTCAGTGATGTGTGTATTATACCATTCGTCTTTCTTTGATTCGCAATTCACTCACTCACTCACTCACTCACTCATATTCATATTCATTCATAGATATTCATTCATACATATTCATTCACATTCATTCATTCATATTCATTCATATGTAATTTAATCGTATTAGAATCTCATAGCACCTTACAGACAATTACTTGTTGACAGATAAATGTTTTTATTGCTTTCTTATTGTTTTAAAGTATAATTATATGTTATATAGTCTTTAATGGTTGTTAGTAACATTGTTAATTATGTAATTCCGCTGATTCAGTTTGATATTATTTATCGAAAATCTAAACCATGACGCATTCTATAATTTATACCGTTTCTTAGACAGTGCCTATGTTAATTAGTCGTATATTTCAATCCATGATTTCCAATAAACCGTTTCAAGGATTATTCCAACGTACATGTATTGCGGACAATTCTTACTTCTATATTGTATGTTATATGTACAGAAGTTCGATTTATTAAATAATGTAATTGTTTGAAAAAAAAAAGAACCCAAAACAACATTTGGTGTATTTATAAGTGTGATCTGCTTGTTGAATAAATAAATTATTATGTTATTTAACATATCTTCACTTTTTTGCTATTACCATCCCCCGGTTAGCATAATATTTGATAAAATATATTATACCCCGCTCCCTCATTACACGAAATGAAATGAAATGAGGTTAAACGTCCTGCTATTATGCACCGACTGGGATAATGAAGACGGGCTTACGTCACACATTGGGCTATAAAGTGTATTTTTCATGGACTGCGTTCTCTCCCGGTTTTTCGTAGACACTGTCCCTGACAGACAATAGGTATGGCAAGGGTAAACCACGCAGGAATCCCAAGGAACTTTCTCGGTCAATACCGGAAGCGAGATAGAGAGAGAGAGAGAGAGAGAGAGAGAGAGAAAGAAATGGGGTTTAACGTCCACTCGACACAAACTAGGCCATTTCGGAACTAACATGGTTCAATTTTATTGCAATAATTCACTTGCGCGTAGGGGTCTTTAGCAGTGGGAAGGAACTGAAGGACCCGGAGAAAACCCACGAGGTTGGACAGGCAACACTACTTCTTTTCAGGTACAACCGGGGAATCGAAACCACGCCAGTTGACTCAATGACAGACCTTATGATACAACGTGCACGCGCTAACCATTCGGCCACTCACCCCCCTCGCGGAAGCGAACTTGAGACCTCCTGGTTAGCGAGCCAACGTCATGCCCAATGAGCCATATCACGGCTACCTCTGCGCACTACACACACGCACGCACACACACACACAATAGTAGTTCAGCTCTGAACGTAGGTCTACACTCGTCCTGTGCGTTCATAGGGACTGACACGCGACCGTTTAGCAGTAAAAAGTTGCCCAGTAAAATCGACTGGGAAGCCATTAGATTTTCGACAAGGATTCAATATAAAAGTTCCTGAACGTACAGGGCGAGTGTAATGAGCTCAGGGCTGAACTAACACAATAGCAGTATAATAAATATACACTATAGCTAGGCCCAGAGCCTTATAAGGCCCAGGCTAGGCCTTCTGTGATAAAAAAAGAGAAAGACATTGTTGTAGTATTGTAGGTTCATATAGGCCCTAGGCCTAACTTACTTTTTCTAACATTAGCATTAAAAACCGTTTATACATTCCAAGGCGTGTATACATTGTATACATTCCAAGGCGTGTATATATTTATGTAATATATACATACGGTATTGCAAATTTTTTGCGTATTCAGTTTATGTAATTAATTAATTTTCAAAACTACAAGAACTTTTTCTCGATTTGCGACGTCTGGGCAATCACGAGTTTCTACCGGAAGTGGTGCGTGTAAAAGGGAAAATAAAAGTAGAGTATTATGCAGACTGGTTATGTAAGGGATAAGATAGCGGATGTTTATTACTAGATGATGTATATGTGAGAAAACAAACTACTGAATTGTATATCCATACTAAAGGTAAGAATATCGTTTTTAAGCTGATGTTTTCAGCTGTGGCGAGATAAATAAAGTCACAAAGTGTATAGTTTTATTAACATTGCCCGAGCAGTTGCATGTTAGGACTGTTTATTGGTTACCAACTGATGTATTTTGTTTATGTCAGACTATACATTCATTTTGGGTTTACTGTAACAATTTAACAGTATTTGAGGTTCATTTCTAAGAAAAAGACGTTTATCGAAGACTGTTTTCTAGAATGGAGTAATCTCCCTTTGATATTCATTGCTTCGGGTTCGTTTTATAAATGTCACGTATGAAGTTGGTATGGCATTGAATACGGTCGTTTAATGTGTTAACGTTATAACTTCAATAACCCCAATTAATATTAAACCTACCATTAAGTCAGTCGATATATAAAATCCAGATATTATTGAATTGACTCGAATTAACTGACTGACCAAAATATTCTAGAATGGAGTTATCTCGCTTTGTATGGCGCGTCCGAGTTCAATTAATGGAACATATAATAAATATTGAGACCAAAATAAATGATATGCGCCACATGAATCATCTTTATATGTCGATTATGGGTTGACAGATCTTTCAGATAAACACTATTTCCTTACATGGTGCGTATTCATCTTTCCCCTTTAAATGAATATGAATGACAAACCCGGCACCGTCTATGGAGAGTATTTGCAGTAGGCCTATGAATCCAATTTATACATTATTATATAATATCATCTGTCTGTATGATCTTGTTCGTGCCTGTTCCCTTTTCATGCTGTTTTTTCAAATTTCATTATAAAATATCATAATTTCTACTACTACGTTCACTTTTTCAATATTCTCGTCAATCTTATCAAAATGATTTAATAGAAATTGCTGTTTTTATTTTTTGGTTTTGATGTAGAATTTTGTAAAATTAAAATAATAAAGTACAGCTAAAAGTATTACAGTAAAGTAGAGCACCTTGTTATACGTCTGGTTTTCATCCGGGTCGTATTATGTTATCAGTCCTTCCGACAGTAAATTTGGTTGTTAGTGAGGTCATCAATGCGATGGGGCTAATGATTGTTCATTAGATTGAACTCTTTCTTTGCATGGTTGATATATCCACATGTTAAAGCTGTACATCTTTTAAGTTGAGACGAGCGTGATGGACTTCTGAACTTTGTCAATATTTCAATCTTTTTGAAATTTGAGGGCAATGAATTCTTTAAATCAGGAAGTTTTACAGTTTTTGGTGGATTGAGTTGAATCCATGACTACCTGTAAACGCGGGGGAAATGGTTTTGTGAAAGCAGGAACTCCAACAGTTTTTCATGGATTGCGTTTGCTTTGGAGCCTTACTGATCTGCACATCCCATTTGGTGACTTTTAATCAATATGCCATCTGATTATACATTTGAGAGTAAGAGATTTGTGAAATCTAGAAGTCTCACAACTTTTCATCGATTGTGTATAAACACTGCACAGCTGTTATGGACATTTTTGAAGCTGTGCACCTTCTGTTTTAAGACTCGTTTAATTAATTTGTGCAATTTGCACACTTCGATTCGACTGTTTATAAATATGAAATGATTAAATTTGTAACATTGATATTTTAACAGTTTTTCATGAAAATCCTGCGAGTTGAGTGGTCGGGGACTGGATTCTCGATTAGAATGACCCAACCTTCACTAGTGAGGAGTGACTGCTGTGGACCTGAAAAGGGCGTGTCTCTATTTTGTTGAGAAGAGACGAAAAACCGAGGTTCTACCTTGTACATATTGCCATTCACGTACAAGACCCCTTGACATTTTCAAATATATACTATATATAATATGGGCGGAAATGCCACTGCCGGACACAATTCTCCCATCTTACAGTGTACACGTAACCACGGAAACCCCATTCTATTTCATTTATTTTTGAAAATTTATGTTATTGCAAATTTGAGAGTTCTGAGTAAATTTCAGTTGTTTGTATAAGCTTGAGAATAACGTTTTGATATTTTTTCATAGAAGTTTTTTTTAGATGTATGCTCGTACATCATATATTTTCAAAGTTTCATTAATTATTTCGCCAACCTACTAAAATTGTGATATCATAATGTCTTCTACAGTTTACGAATTAACTAGATAAGATTTGCATCTTCTATTTTAAGAATTTTTCATAATTTTTTGTCAAGCCTTTTACTTTTACAGTTTCGCCCAGTCGCCAGTTTGTACATTCAGGAGAGAAGAATATTATTGTTTCACTATGTGCACGCGTATTTTGGTTTATTTGACTTGACGTAAACAATAAAGATACCCCACCCACCCACACCACCACCACCACCACCACATATTCCTTCTAGGGGGCTTACTCCACAGTCTAAAATAAAGGCTCTTAAAAGCATATTCTATCATTAAAATATAAATGAAAATAATATTGTTTTATTTTATCTTTTCACTTAATTTCTCTTCTATTTACAGATGAATTTAAATGAAATCGATAGTTAGCGACTTTCTGGTGTTCATTTGTTATCTATTCTGCATGATGAACAAGTTTTGAATCGATTAAAACAGGATGAGTCATTTCTTTCAGTAGACAGATATTTTTAAAATACTCAATCAAGAAACTGCGATTTTTATGACAAAAAAATGAAATAGCCTCCACTCTGGTAAAAAGAGTTTTTTTCGATTCGGTATTTTTACGTTTTATATTCCGTATTTTACATTTTATTTAACAGTGTGTCGTGTTCTTATCGATGTAGTGAAAATGCAGCTGTTCTAATTATGCAAGACATCGCCCACTGATCTATGTATAAACTCACTAAAGTCACGCGCACAATGCTGCCGACACCTGAATATGTAGTGTAGAAAATCAAAACCATGAAGGCAAAACGAAATGCAGATATAATTTAATTAAACTGAAAAACTAATGAACTAAAGGTGAAGCTTGATCTGACTTGTATAATCAGAGTAATGTCCTGTAAATAAACCGGAAACTGAGCTGACATTTTTTCAAAGTAAAGGTACAGGAAACGAAGCTGATATTTTCATAGACAATGTTTTTTTAATTGTGTTCTTTTGTTTTCGGGGATTCCTTAATAGAATAATTGAACTATCTGAAATAGATATGGGAGGTCATCTCGACAAGTTATCTGGACAGAAGTATTTAGAAAATGAGGTAAATTTGATGATAAAAGAAGGAAATATAAATGATTTGAAAGGCCTGACGAAAGACTCAAACTTTGTCAATTTTGTTTTCGTAGATGGAACGACACTGCTTCACGTGGCCGCTTTACATCATCGAAAGGAATGTTTAAGGTTTCTACTAAGGAAACGATTAGTTCCAATAAATAGCAGAGATCATTCGGATGAAACGGCCTTGAATACCGCCTTAGAACAAACTGACGATTTGGAGTGTGCAGATATACTGATTACTGCAGGCATTGATATCCACCTTAAAAACAAATGGTTGCGGACACCATTATTAAAAGCAGTCATAAATCAAGATGAACGCGCGGTTTTGTTTTTATTGAACAAGGGCTGTAACCCTAACACGGAAGACTGTATGGGTTGCACGCCCTTGAATCAAAGTGTTTTTTACCATTTACATCGTTCTTTTAAATGTCTACTTCAACATTCGGTTGATATTGATTATGTCAATAAAAATGATCTATCTGCTCTGTATTTCGCATGTAAATCGCTAAACAAAATTGCAGTGTCTAAACTTTTAAAACTAGGAGCCAGGGTGTCTCTCGATCTAATACAAAAGATCCTGCTATTTTTTGACAATGAACTAACCCAGCCTCAACGTGCACATAAAGCACCCTTTATGGAATCAATACTTCTATCAGTTATATCTGCTTTAGGACAAACGATACCTTTAAATGTTTTCTTCAAATTGCTGCGCCACTCCACTGCTTTAAATGTTTCAAAATCTTTATTTGTTTGTACCGAAAGAAGACAGCCGTGGAAACAAAAGGTAGACAGTTTAGAACTGTATCGCAAAAACAAGTTGAATTGGTTGGCTGCCGGTAACTGTGATTGTGTACCGTCTCTAATGGATATAAGTCGTTTACTCGTAAGAGAACGTATAGCGGCGTCTCGTGGAAATGTTATAACAGGTTGCAGTTTACTGAACATTCCACCTGGGTTAAAATCTGTCATTCTGTTGCACGATATTTGAGTTTGGACCGTGTATAATAACATGTATTAAATTGCTATTTTATGATTGTCAAGTGTTAATCTTTTATTTAGAGTGGCCCGAGGCCTTTGTTGATCGCAAATTGCGTTTTCTGTATTGTCGTCAAAGGCGTTTCCTAAATTGTCGTCAAAAGTGTTTATCGCCAAAAGCAAAGCGATCCCTTTGCCACAAGGGTCCGCCGGACCGTACAAGTTTTTTGCGTTTTCTTTTCAGAATTCACTGCGCCGTATCACAGAGGGATGGTGTTTAACGTCTATTCGACACAATCCAGTTCATTTCTGGACTAATATATGGACCAGAGAAAACCCCCGAGGTTGGACAGGGACTTAACTCTTTGTCACGCAGAAGCTTGCGTTCAAAATCACGTCACTTGACTGAATGACACACCTCATGATCAATAAAGACACAAACTGGAATCAAATTTGTTTTAATGGTGTAAAAAATAAATGTTCAATAGTACGAATGTAACTATTACAATAATTATTTAAAAAAAACCCCAACATATTAATAATCCCCCAAACAACCCCCCCCCCAAAAAAAAAAACAAAAAAAAAACAAACAAACAAAACAAACCCACCCAAACAAAAAATAAAAATCTACACATACATCAATAACCAACACGTTTCTAATATCGGACAATTCTCGATAAATGTCAATAAAGGGTCTCACATAATAATAAATGTTCACTAAAGCAGAGTGTTTTCAGATTTTCAAATAGCATTTTCGATGAGTTTTTATTCTCTCTGGATTCAATTGCTTACTAAAACAGGCACGATAGATAATTATTACATAAGAAACGTTTACAGTCGTCCTGTAGAAGACATGGGGCTAGTTTGACCGGGTGCAGGAACACATCAGAATGATTAAATGTATCCTTATATAAAACCCTTTCCTCATACCATAAATAGCTACCCCGTAGTCTAACTATATTGTCTTGTTTATCCAGGCCATTTATGATACTTGGTACAGTAATTTCTAGATACACACCGTATCCATCAAATATGTTCACTAAGAATCGAAATTTTTTCGATAGACGGCGAGGAATATAAAAAATGTCAGAAACTTCGTAAAACACTGTATTTTCACTGCCAGAATTCAATGCTAATTGTTTCAAGAATGCTTGCGAGGTTTCGTCGGTTTCACCCAGTTTGCGCAAATGCTGAACAGCTTTGTTTAAGGGAACTCTGCCTTTTGACGATTCCCACGGCCACCATGTTTTATCTCTCCAAACATCGAGGACTGTAGGCTGTGACAAGTTTGCAACGCGCATACTTTTTTGAAACCACATTTTATCAGTTGGTAAGTTGTGCATGCTCCATACATTCAATAATACGTCATCACTCAAGTGTAAATACCCATCTACGTCATAGTTCATGCGCATAGCATTCTGTAGACACTGATATCCGAATTCACCTTTGTTAAAATCATCGCCCATTTCAATAAATGATATTGGGGAGGACAGACTGGCATCTACATTAGTTCCACAGTATATTATATTTTTAAAAAAGCGTCTGTACATTCTTTCAAGATGGCTGATAACATGATAGTGTCCATCGGTATTGAATACAATTACTAATAAAATATTATCCCAATAACGAATTGGACCCACATCAGAAAAGGGACAGTTTGGTAAACTCGTGCTACACATATCGTCAAAATGAATATTATATTGTAATTTCGAGGAATTTATTACTGGTCGAAAGACAACTTTATGAACCGGCTCTAACGACTTTTGATTGGCCAGTTTCTGTCTCATAGACGGCGCTTTGTAACCACTCTTACGAAGATCGTTAAGCCATGACTTGATGACGGTGTACTCCGCGTATGTAATAAATTGATTTTTGCTCATGAATAAACTGAGTGATCCGACACAAGAGAAAAAGTCATCTTCGTCACATGTCCATGTTGCTATTTGGTTAAATACGTTGGTTAACATTTCATTTGAGTGATTGTATTTGGATTTGCAAACATATGAATTAGAATTCCTCTTTTCAACATATGCCAAAGATACGAAACTACCAATTTCCTGTAACAACCTCTGTAACCACAAGGACCAGATATGATCATTATCTTCCAAAACACCAAGTGCCCAGAATGAATCGTAATGAAATAGTATATTGTCTTTAATGAATAGTTCTGATTGGGCTGTAGACAAAACGACTGGAGGCACTCTTTCATCTCTGTAAGACGCAAGGTTAAATAATGTAGGGTTTCCTCTGTTTGATAATGATACGGTTAACTCCCCTTGATTGATGACTTTCTGAATTGAAGCTCTTTTCCACAAACCTAATTCGTATTTCGGCCGATCTTTGTCATTACTACTCTGTGGATATTTCAAGCCCAACAAACCGAGCAAATAAGACAGAGAATTTGATTGGTTTCTGCTGTGTTTCAGAATCCACACATATGGATTAACGTTCAACCTCTGCTCTATAGTTCGTACGACGTCATTGACTTCGTAGTTTGACGTAAGGTACAGAAATGTCGCACCGCTTTGAATAGAAAATAAAACTGTTTTGCATAATGAATCCGTCCTATAGTTACACGCAGAGCTGAAAAAAAGAAATATTTTGTACTAAACACATTTCTGATACAGTTTATCAAAAGCTCACAAAATACCCTACTTATGTTCAGTTATAGTTATATGATTAAAGTGCAATTTGATTACTGCTATTGGGTGGTTTAGTCTGGCAGCGGGTCGACAAACCTAGAAATATAGTGTAAATACAGAATCCGGATGATGCCACCCTGGCACCCTTGGGAAAATTTATTTATTCAAGATGGTCGCCATGAGGAATGTTCAGGTTATAGTGGGGTAAAATTCGTGACAATTTCTTTTGGACCTCGGTTTGAAGGTGGTTTCTATAAGAATTCGACCCACTGAATCCAACGAGCTTCGGTATTCCTCCTAAAAGTGAGGGCTAATTACCCTAGGAGGCCAAATTCAAAATGGGGACTCATTTTGGCGGGAAACTAATAAAGTTCCCTAAATAGGTGTGTAATATATTCAAATATAGGTCTCAATTTCTTCGGATATAAATATAAAAACATGTTCCGACCAAAAGATATTCCAGGCTGAGCCCATTTTACAAAATGCTGGCCATATTTGGCGAGACATAACGATGTTGGTAATGTGATAGTGTAAAACGTCAAAATATAATTTTTTGTGTTCGCCGATTTTTGGCGTTTATTTCGATCATATGACATTCAAATGTTCAGGGGCCTGTTTCATAAAAACCTTAACGTAAAATCACTAAAATAGATTTTAACTAAAATCAAAATGATATTTTAAATTTTATGCGTTTCACGAAGATCGACTGTAACTTAAAATGCAATTTTAACAGATTTTTAGTTAAAATTGATTCAGTCTGCGCAGTGCACATTTCCGATGCGGGGACTTTCTGTGTAAGCAAATACGCTTCGAAACTGAAAACTGTTGACAGGTTGAACTGACGGGTACAATATCAATAGGGAGAGTTTTATACGTTGTAACAATGTTTGCATATGGTCAGCCAGTCGTAGCGAGGTGAAATAAATGAGTTTACTGCGTATTATTCGTTTCGAAATGTATCAATGGGTTGGCCTTGAACTCCGCATTGGGTTCGTGACCTTGGCATTTGATTTACTCGCAGGCTTCAATGTAAATAATGTGTATCGATAAACTATATTAAATCGTTTGGATTCCGTAGTTTTATGGTATTTTGGATAACAGAAACTATTGAGAATTGTCACAAACATGATATATGTGACTCAAACGACTAATCTTGGCTGTAAATTTCTGTCGAATTTTAAAAGTATTAAACAACTTTTAAACTAATCCAAACAATTTCCAATGTTCCGATGCCTAGATTTGAAATGTCATCCTATACTGTTTTAAAAATACTTTAAAATTACCAAAGTGTCACACTCCTTATCTTTGGCTCCTTAAACTTCTCTGATTTATGCTGTGTTATTAACGAAAGCCTTCATTAAGAAATAATAATAAATTCATGATATTAAGATTTAATTTCAAATAGACCTATAACATTTTTCAATAAACACATTTGAGATTATTGATTTATCCTTTTAAAAATCATCATAACCCCAAAACCACGAGTAAATACTTTACATGCGACAACTTTGGTAGTATAGGCCCGTGGGCCTTCTAATACCAAGAAATTGGCAATTTAAGACCATTGTAGGCCTACACGAAGATATTTTTTTTATAGATTAGAGTGCTCTTCTTTCCATGACATTAGATATGAAGTGAGTTCAGATTTTGTTTTAGGTTGGGTTTTAATTTGGGGTGGGGCGTCATCTAATTGCTTAAATTGCAGCTATATTTCACATGCTGTAATGAAAAGAAATTGAATGAGAATTGTTTTTTGTGAATAATAGTAGACCTATGTTGAAATTATGTGACCCGGGCATTTGGCAATATTATCATTATTCCAAATATATGTATATGTCGCAATAGATCTAACAACGTATCTCTAATCAATGTTTGTTAATGTCGTGATTTTAAGCTAGCAGAGGGTGACGGCTGTCCTACGTAAAAATTTATTTTAGTTAAAATTAATTGTTCCTAAAATAGTTTTGTGAAACGCCACAATTTTAAGTTAAGATACAATTTTAAACATAAACTATTATTATAGTGGATTTTATCTAAAATGCTTAAAATCGTTTTGTGAAACGCATCTATCTTAAGTCAGGATGAAATTTTAGTTAAAGATGATTTTAAGGAGATTTAAGTTTTTGTGAAACCAGGGGGGCCCTGATATTAATTCAGGGACCCCGAAAAGCTATAGTTTGACGTATTAAATTATCACAATTACTAACATGGAAATGTGCCGCCAAATATGGCCATCATTTTGAATATGAGCTCAGTCAGCGAGGAATAACTTGGCCGGGACATGTTTTTATGTTTATATATTAAGTAACTGACATCGAAAACCTATAAATCAATATATTGCGCACCTTTTAAAGAACTTTATGAGTTTCCCGCCAAAATGAGCCTCCATTTTGAATTTGCCCCCGCCCCTCCACGCTCCGCATCATGGCGGCCATCTTGAATATTTGGATTTCCCCAAGGCTGCCAGGGAGTCATCATCCGGATTCTGAATCTACATATATCGAAGTTACATAATCCGCCGAAAACCTATATTTTAATACACCTTTTTAGAGAACGTTATGAGTTTCCAGCCAATGTTAGCCTCCATTTTGAACTAACGGAATTACCCGTCACTTTATGATGAGTTTCCCGACAATGTGAGCCTCCATTTTCCATTTTAAATTTGGCCCTCTAACGGAATTAGCCGTCACTTGTATGAGGAATACTAAAGCTCATTGGATTCAGCGGGTCGAATTCCGATAAAAACTACTTTCAAACCTGTGATGAATTTTACCCCACTAAATAACCAGAAAATGCCACCATGAAATTTTAAATTCCCCCAAGGGTGCCAGTGTGGCATCATCCCGATTCTGAATCTTCACATATTGAAGATACTATATTTCCACGCCAAGGCTTTAAATAGTGTTAGACTGCCGGACTAATTCTTAAGCTTTTTGTGAACCGCATGCGTCAAGGAGCGTGGCATTTGATTGGTCTAAATCAAATATATTGTATCTCTGTTAATTTTGGATAAAAACAAACCTACTTTTATAATGTTTTTTTTTTCTATAATGTAATAAACTAGCGGTTGCCAGGCAAGATAGCCCACATTTTGCAAGAGATGGATATAGAACAAGTTAAATACACTTAGGGGCCATAATCCAGAAAATTGTGGGTTGAAATGCGCAAATATCAAAAGGGACTGAGATCTTTTGGATATAAAGATATGTTTTAAGTTTCTTCAAAATCGGATAAAATTGACTATCACCTTTAGAGGGTCCACAACCTTCGTATTACATACTTTTACACAATTTGTGTACAAAGAGCGGCCATTTTCCCGAAATTCGAATTCAGCATTCATTATGGTGGAATGATGACATACTTAAACGGTTTTATTTTTGAATCGAATAAAAAATTGTGACCTCTAGGGAATCCACAAGCTAAAACACACGATTTTTCGTACAATCAGGAGACATAATCCAGAAAATTATGTTCTGATATGCGGAAATAGCAAAAGGAGTCGAGATCATTGAGTTAACTGGAGTGGTTTCGAATCCCCGGTATGTACGTGACAACAATCTAATTAAAATATAGATCTATATTTCGTTTCGTTTTTTATACTTTCGATGGCCTACACTACATGTAGATCTAACAAGTTATAGTGGGAGTTCAGTTATTCGATTAACCAATTAGCGACCTCCATGTATTTTTTATCTACTTTTGCTTTGTTTTGATTTCTATTGCCGCTAATGTCTACCCACAGTTCCGCGCAAAAAAGGTCAAACGCTCGATTCGACAGACCATTTTATTGGCTGACCCCTCATTTCAAGCAGAACTAGAGTATAACAACGCGTCCAGATCCAAGTGTAGTAAAGACAAGTAAAATCGAAATTTTGAACTATAAAAACGAAACGCAATTGGATCTGTGTTTTAATCAGATTGACGTGACAAGGAGTAGGGTCGCCTGTCCAACCTCGTGTGTTTTCTCCGGGTCCTCCGGTTTCCACCTACTACTAAAGACCCATATGCGCAAGCGAATTATTGAAATAAAATTAAACCATATGTTAGTTCCGAAATGGCCCAGTTTGTGTTGAGTCGACGTTAAACTCCATTTCTCTCTCTCTCCTTGAGACATAAACATATATTTTAAGTTTCATCAAAATCGGATAAAAATTGTGACCCGTTGAGTGTCCACAAGCTAAAAACGTGATTATTCGTACAAACAGGGGTCATATAATCCAGGAAGTTACGGTCCGATATGTGCAAATATCAAAAGGAACCACGATCTTTGGATTATAAACATACATTTCAGATAACAATTGTGACTTCTTGGGTGCCCAAAACCTTTGTCTGGCAGTTTCGGTCAGATTTTTACGATTTTCGAACTCAACCTTTATTGTTGTGTATCGGTGACATATTTAATTTTTTTTTTTAAATTGAATACAACTTGTGACTTCTTGCAGGTCCACCAGGTAAAAATGCGATTTTTCGAACAATCAGGGCCATAATCCAGGAATTCTGACCCCTAGAGGGTCTACAACCTTGATATACCATATGTTTACACTATTTGCGTACGAGGGGCGGCCATTTTGTCCGGCAGTTTTGATCCAATTTTCACGGAATTCGAACTTAACCGACTTTACAGTGTAATTGTAACGGTGATATATTCGAACGTTTTTTTTAAATTGGATAATAATTGTGACGTCTGAGTTATAAACATGTATTTCAAGTGTCATCAAAATCGGATCAAAATTGTGACCTCTACAGGGCCTACAACCTTGATATACCATATGTTTACACTATTTGCGTACGCGGGGTGGCCATTTTGTCCGGCAGTTTTGGTCCGATTTTCACGAAATTCGAACCCAACCGACATTACGGTGTAACGGTGATATATCTGAACGCTTTTCTTTTTTAAATCAGACTATAATTGTGACCTCTAGAGGATCACAAACGTACAATCACGGGCCATAATTCAGGAAGTTACGACCCGATATGCGCGAATATGGAAAGAAAATGAAATAAAATGAAATGGGTCCAAGATCTTTGGGTTATAAACATGTATTTCATGTTTCATTAAAATCGGAAGAAAATTGTGACCTCTAGAGGGTCCACAATCTTGATATATGTTTACGCTATTTGCGTACGAGGAGCTGTCATCTTGTCCGGCAGTTTTGGTCCGATTTTCACGAAATTCGTACAATCAGGGGCCATAATTCAGGAAGTTACAATCTGATATGCGCGAATATCGAAAGGAACCAAGATATTTAGGTTATAAAAATACATTTCAAGTTTCATCAAAATCAGATGAACATTTTGACCTGTAGGGTGTCCACAAACAAATTGTGGACGGACTGGGGCGACGGCATAATACGTCCACATGAAAATGTGGGCGTATAAAAATCGGATAAGAATTGGGACCTGTAGAGTGTTTATAAATAAATCGTGGAAGGACAGGGGCGACGACAATATACGGCCACATGAAAATGTTGGCGTATAGAAATAATCATTGGCGAAACTACTTCTAATGAATGGAATTGTCAACAACGTATATACACAGGTAATATATGCACCCAAATTATAGTGGTAAGATAGATACATATTGCTCATATTTACCTTAATTTATCACCAATATACAGTATACTCCATGGAGTAGAGGATATATTAACCTTGGTAGCACGTTCATCTGGAGTATGGTAATTTGTGTTTACAATCCATCCATGATCATTCTCTAATCTAAAAGAAACGAGAACTGTGGCCATTCTTTAACAGGTAAAAACAAAAAAAATGTGGGACTGGACTCCTTAATCTGGTCCTGCACATGGTAGCATAATTATGTTTATTCTTTCTAGAACACATAACTATAAGCAAACAGGGTATTATAGGAGATAAGCCTCCTTTTTCTAAAACAATTGATTCAATAAATATTTACGTATTATAAAGATACAGTTTATAATTATGAGATCTGATTATGAGCTTATATAAATTCATCTCCCGTAAGAAATCATTTACAGAAATATGAATAAATTATTTGAAAATTATATATAATCATAAATTATACAATGGTATAAGTTAGATATATATCAAATGAATTACTATACAGAAGGTATCATGTAGCATCCGTCAAGATGGCACCTGTAAACCCAGACACAACTAGACACGATTTGTTTCGCCAATCAGAAGACAGTAGGTAAAGCCACCCGGACATGATTACAATTGTCAAAAAGAGCCTGTCCGTCAGTAAACTATCAAGAGACACTCAATATCATTCAATAAGTATTAGGATATGTATTTTAAGTACGCAATCAGTATGATCATTCAAGAGACATTAAGTTAAATTAACAAAACAGGATAAGTATCACTCATCAAGAAACAGTGACTAAACCCCTATTGTATGAATGGGGGTTGGATGGCTGAATGGTTAGCGTGCGCGCGCTGTATCATAAAGTCTGTCATTGAGTCAACTGGCGTGGTTTCGAATCCCCGGTTGTACGTGACAAGGAGTAGGGTCGCCTGTCCAACCTCGTGGGTCCTGCGGTTTCCTCCCACTGCTAAAGACCCCTATGCGCAAGCGAATTATTGAAATAAAATTAAACCATATGTTAGTCCCGAAATGACCTAGTTTGTGTCGAGTGGACGTTAAACCCCATTTCTCTCTCTCTCTCTCCTATTGTATGATAGGTAGTTTGAACCAAGAGACGATAAGCATCACCAGACTAGGTACAGTGAGTAAAACCAGTATTATCAAGAAGCAGGAGGTAAATAATAAGTTTCATTAATCAAAAAACAATTGGTAAGCGATTATCATTACCAATCAAAAGTAAAACAACCAGACCAGATATTAAAAATTAGTCAAGATGCGTTTTTCCTATCACTTAAGAAAGTTTGTTTAGGATCAGTTTGCTCCTCAATTACTACTGCCAAGTGTGGGATTCCACAAGGTCGATCCAAGGTCCTCGCCTTTTCTTTATTTTCATAAATGATCTTCCACTCAATATTAATTAAATTCAGATAGATATGTCTGCTGATGACAGCACCCTTCATTGTTCACACAAAGATATTTTATCCATTGTCAATAATCATCAAAATGATCTTTACTTGGTTGCTAAATGGCGAGAAAACAAATCAGAACAACCTGCATTTATCCCTTCATTGTGAAGACACTGGGACGGTTACTACCTCTAAATTCTTTGAGTTCAAATTGACCAAGACCTTAATTGGGAAACATGGATATCACAAATGTCTTAAAAAAACTTGCATCACAAATATTTCTCTTGAATAAGATAAAAAATAATTTACCCCATGAGATAATAATTTTGTTTTATAATAGTTTTGTTGTTTAGGAGGGTCGGGTTAGATTTAGAGACCTGATTATCGAAAGTCATTATCTAGATACGAATTACACCTGTAATAATGTTATTGGGGTTTGAACAATAGAAATGGAAGTCAATTGTTGAAATTTTCTGCATTTTTCGATCCTAACCTGGCTACTGAAGCTTCGCCCGAAAGAAATTCTACAATGGACGATTAGCTTGTTGCAAACCTTAAATTGCGTCATTAAATAAAATTATTTAAGACAAATATCATTAGTCGAGATACATGACCATTCTCTGATCTAAAAAAAGCCTCATATAAATTGTGATCATACTTTAATCAAAAAGAAAGAGACATGTGATCATTATTTAAAAGATAACAAAAAAATAAATGTGTGACTGAACTTCATAATCTAGTCTTGCACGTGGTAGCATAATTATGTTTATTATTTCTAGAAAACATAGTAACACTTCTCATTTTTTGGGGAAATTGACATAACTAACAATCTTAGTTTACTATACGCAAACAGGATATTATTTAAAGGGCATATGGCTATTTCCATTGGAACCTTGAAATAGACGATAATAGGCCTAGCCATCACCAAGATATACGAGACATCACTTTCAAGGTCAGGGTCATTCAGATTTTGTTGTGGTTTTCAATAAGTTTAGTTAAAACACTTGATAAATATATTATTCCAAATAGGCCAGTGCATAAATTTTCATTAATTAGATGAATCTAAGGTTATTTAAATACAATATTTTTTAAAGAAAAATGCATTTATTTTCTTGGTGAAAGCGATAATGCCTGTTTAATCTATCACACAATGGACGTTTTATTAAATTACGCATTGGTTTTAGACCTATAGTAATTACTTATTACAGCAACAGACATGTTCAAGTATCACAGTAACAACCATGTACTCTTCTCAACATGCAAGCACCCGTAATATAGCGTTCTATTTTGGCAAAGAATCCTATATGCTAAGTTAAATTGAGACCCGGGGGGTTGGATGGCCGAATGGTTAGCACGTGCGCGCTGTATGATTGAGTCAACTGGCGTGGTTTCGAATCCCCGGTTGTACGTGACAAAGAGTAGGGTCACCTGTCCAACCTCGTGGGTTTTCTCCGGGTCTCCGGTTTCCCCCCACTGCTAAAGTCCCCTACGCACAAGCGAATTATTGAAATAAAATTGAATCATATGTTAGTCGCGAAATAACCTCTCAAATTGAAACCAGCGGTTGCCAGGCAAGATGCGCCCACATTTTGCAAGCTACAAAAACAACGTGATTTTTCTTACAACCAGGGACCATAACACAAGAAGTTTTGGTCTAAAATGCGCGACTATCGATAGGGGATATAATGATATATTTTAAGTTCATCAAAATCGGACAATAATTGTGACCTCTAGGGTGTCTACAACCTTGGTATTACATAGGCCCCTACTTTTAAACTATTTGCGTACAAGGAGCGGTCATTTTTTCCGACAGTTTCGGTCAGATTTTTAAAAAATTTGAACCCAACCTTCATTGATGTGTAATGGTGATATATTTAAATTGAATACAAATTATGACTTCTAGCGGGTCCTCAAGGTAAAAATGCGTTTCTTCGAACTATCATTGGCCATAATCCAGGAATTACGTTCCGATATGCGCGATTGTCGAAAGGAACCAAGATGTTTGTGATATAAACATAAATTTAAAGCTTTATCAAAACTATGTCAACCTTGATATACCATATGTTTACACCATTTGCGTGGGAGGGGCGGCTATTTTCGAACTTAACCGTCATTAGGGTGTAACGGTGATATATTCAAACGTTATTTTAAATCGGATAAAATTTGTGACCCCTAGAGGGACCACAAGCTAAAAAACACGATTTTTTGTGCAATCATCTGATATCCGCGAACCAAGATCTATGGGTTATTAAAATGTATTTCAAGTTTCATCAAAATCAGACAAAAACAAATTGTGACCTCAAGAGGGTCCAAAACCTTGATATAGCATATTTTTTTCTTACACTATTTGCATCCTAGAGGTGGCCATTTTGTCCGGTAGTTTTGGTCCGATTTTCACGAAATTCGAACTCAACCAACATTACGGGGGATCACGTGGCTAAGTGGGTAAGACGCTGGCTCGCTAGCCTGGAGGTCGGGTGTTCGATCCCTGCATTGACCGAGAAAGTTCATCCAGATTTTCCGGCGTGGTTTCCCCTTGTCAGTGATGCAGGACGGAGGGCCTGACAAGGACAGCTGTCTAGTCGTTCGGATGGGACGACAAACCGAGGTCCCGTGTACATATTGGCGTTCACGTAAAATATCCCTTGGCAGTTGGAATTCGATATAAGAGTAGGCCGTAGCACCGCTGCCCGGGCAAAATTTCCCTCATAGCACACTGTATGGCGTATGCCCGTCTTCATTTGCCCAGTTTAGGAGCAGAACAGTAGAACGTTAAACCCCATTTCATTTCATTTCATTTTCAACCAACATTACGGTGTAACGGTGATATATGCGAACAGTTTTCTTTAAATCGGATAATAATTGTGACCTCTCGTACAATTAGGGGCCATAACCTATGACGTTACGATCCGATACATGCCAATATCGAAAGGAACCAAGATCTTTGAGAGATAGACCTATATTTCTAGTGTCGTTAAAATCGGATAAAAATTGTGACCTGTAGAGTGTCCACAAACAAATTGTGGATGGACGGACATCGGGACAGACAGGGGCGACTACAATATACGTCCACATGAAAATGTGGGCGTTTGCAAATACTAGACCTGTCATTATAGGTCCAAAGTAAGAAAACCGCATAATGATAATTACGGGAAAAAAAGGAAAAATATTCATTATCTATAATTAAAGTAGCTAAGTCTCTAACTCAGTATCATCAAAAATCTTCAACATTGAAAACACGAATTATTTGTCAATTCAAATCAACATTGGTCTTGTGATCTTACAGGGAAAAGACGGGCTTCTGATATCCAATATTCAAGACAAAATAAACATTTTACCACTAGTACACGAATCGTGTACCATGATGCGTTTCAGTGCCATTTGGAACAAGGGACTCAATGAACGCGACTAGACATATTCCACAAGTCATGTCAATTATGATGACGCTATATTCTTATCTGGAGAGCATGCGCAATACATATCATCGGTGTAGACTGGAATAACCAGGCGCTAAAGATTGCCATTCAATTGAGACTTCTGGCAAGTTCTGGCGTATTTCGCCGAACATAACTGATAGGAATTACAGTAAAAACAGAAACAGTTGAATGTAAATCAGTTTATATACATTCACATTACAATATTATATGCGTTGCGACCCATTTGTGTCAATTTCTAGGTCCCAAATATTAGCGATTTAGCTCTTTAAACTAAAGCATCTACGGTTAAATTCATCAAGTAACAATGTTTGGGTGTACATTAACGAACTAATGGGTACAAATTACAAACTGAAAGCCAAACCAGATCAAAATACATTTAAATTTACATAGGAGAAAAAAGAGGAGTCCCCACACTAGCTATTACCTGGACAACCGAAGACCAAAATAGACTACAAACTACTTAGATTATAAGGAAAAGTTACAGAAGGCGAAATAAGAAGACGCCCCCTTATCCCAACACACCACCTGTTACCTGAATAGCCCTAGTTTGACACTCGAAGTTTGTCATCAAAGTGTCTTGGGTATTACAGAAGTAGAAACCCCGCCCAAATAATAACTATGGAAAAGCGCAGAGAGCAGGAGAATCTTTCCTCACGTCTATACTGAAAACTGTCTGGTTAATGGAAACTTACCATACCTTCTATCCCTACTGTGGGTTAATTGCTTAACCCCCCCCCCCCCCAAACTAAACCATATAAAACACACACAAAAACAAGTGTATTCAACTAAAGGTTTTGCAGTGTATTCAACTAAAAGTTTTGCAGATGAACTTACCTGTGAATGGATTCGATGCTTGCGTGTAAAATTTTATACTTCTGTTGGTAGTATATATAATAGTATAAATACGTTGATATTAAACACACAGCTATTAGCGCGCAATATAAACCACGTCGTCGTCTGCACAAAATTAAACAGGAGGCCATCATCACAGGTATGGGTTAAGTGACTGTACTACTTAAGAAATAATTTACTGCTGCTAAAGACTAAAATATAAAAAAAAACAACACTAAATTGTAATCAACTCGTTAACTGTATGTCTATTAATGACCATATTCGAGTCTTTTCAACACAGTAATTACATTGTGGTATCCTGAACTCATATTTTCTAGTTTTAATTATCACTGGTAACACATCTAATCACCAACATTCAGAATAAAATCGATGTTTCGACACCTATGTCCTAAATCACATCAGAAAGTGGTCATCCCAAGAGAAAAATTACGAATAAAATCTTAAATAAATAAATAAATAAGCACACCTGCCCAGATAAAAATTACGAGTAAATAAATAAGTAGATAAATAATACCCCTATATTGGCGTACCGTTGTCAGAGACGGGTGGTCTTCAGAAATAGTTATTCGGTACTACCTTGTTACCTACTTTATAACCGGTTCGTGGTCCTTGCTAGGTGATGTTAGAGCTGGCAGTTATTGCAATTATGACCAATATAAGTCATATGAGTTCTATATATTAAAAATCAATGTTACATTCCCCATTTTGGTAAAAATATCTTTGACAACATTAATGTATTTTAAATCTATTTTATTTACCTAATTATTTCTCATGTAAGATACGTGTTAAATTAAACAGACACTGGCCTGAGTGACATATTATCTTTATAAAAACACATAGAGTCAAACTCTTTACAATCAAATATCAACTGGCCCCTAGGTTATAGAACCTTATTAAACCAGCCACTGGCTATTACGTCAGATATAATTTAGACGAAGCATTAAAGTCTAAACAATGGAGGGATTAAGTATTGGTCATTAACCAAACTCTCTATAAAACGAACCATTGTTTTAGATTTCAACTTAGAAGCAATATTTTAATTGTCAATGTGTCATAATTGTCTATTATATATTTTGTAGAATTGTATTTCAAACACAGAGTGAGCTATGGTTTAGAACGTATCAGATATCTCTCTTTCTTGTAAATATTTGTTGAATCATCTATGTTTAATAAATCACATAGAAGTTACTTGGATTAAGTCTTAATTTTATAAGACCAGAAATAACGTGGTCACATGTAGATATGCCGGCTTTTGATTACCTCAACAACATTGCCAAAGCGAGTAACCCCAATACATGGATGTGGCCGAAGGTTAAAAGCAACGTAGAGTCCGACCTAGAGAAATGCTGAAGAACAGGACCGAAGAAAAGTCGGATCAGGCATGATAGAAGCCTGAAGGGTTTATAGGGCTTTTTCTAGAAGAAATAGTAAGTACAACACATGCTAATTTGATCTGCTATTAACAAGAACGACAAGGAAAGACATAACATATATACTGCGTAAAGTATCTATATATAATAAATGAAATGAAATGAAATGGAGTTTAACGTCCTACTGTTCTGCTCCTAACCTGGGCTAATGAAGACGGGCATACGCCATACAGTGTGCTATGAGGGAAATTTTGCCCGGACAGCGGCACTACGGCCTACTCTTATATCGAATTCCAACTGCCAAGGGATCTTTTACGTGCATTCCAATGTATACACGGGACCTCGGTTTGTCGTCTCATCCGAAGGACTAGACAGCTATCCTTGTCAGGCCCTCCGTCCTGCATCACTGACAAGGGGGAACCACGCCGGAAAATCTGGATGAACTTTCTCGGCCAATGCAGGGATCGAACACCCGACCTCCAGGCTAGCGAGCTAGCGTCTTACCCACTTAGCCACGTGATCCCCTATATATAATAAAAAAAAAACCCAAAAAACCAAACTATGTATAGATCCGGGTGTCTTCTTGACCATCCTCTGTTAAAATGAAGGCTTTATAGAGTTACCTCTGATGACGTGGGGCCAAGAATTCGTCATTCGCAAGCTAAATTGTGAATCGTAAAAGGCGATTGAAATTTGCTACAGAAAAAGATCTATGTTTCCTTTGATTATTATTTAAACGGTAATTTGGTATTTCATCGAGATATTGTTTACCACGTGGCCTAGCTAACCATAGTAGTTTACATTATTGCGTATGTTTCATTGGTGACGATCAATGCAGTTACGTATTATTCAAAAGTAAATCTATAAATTGTTAAAACAACATAGACCATGTTCTGTACCTGTACTAAAGAATTAGTGAAAGCCTTTAGCCCTAGATAATGACTCGCAATTGAGCAATCTGAACGGGTATAAAGTGACTGAACATATATAAAATATATATTCAGAAATGAATATGAGTAATATTTAAATTTTAAAATGAATTATATAAAAATGTAAATGATCTAAATGTGTTATTGAAGAAAGTTTGATCTACAAGGATCTAATTAAGCCGATGAAGATATGGAATGAAACTCGGTAAAGTAAAGAATAAAGATATATGAATGGAAATTCAACATATATTAATACTTTATATGTTAAAATTATATTAAACGTTATGTGAAAAAAGGCGTTAATTTTAATGATCTATGACAGTGGTTCTCAACCTTTTTTTTACCAACGGCACACCGTGGAACACATGAAAAAATATCGGCACAACTGGCTAAATATATATGAAAAATATTTGAATTTTGAAAAATAAAAACATGGTAAGTCAGACGGAATACAACCGTAGACAGAGACTAGTCATATAAACATAGAATGACTCAAATTAAAGGACAATATTGGTGTCAGTCATTATAAAATAGGTGATAGAACTGGTTGAATACATCCCAAATATAATTTTAACACAGAGATCATTGCTACAGGAGATGTGTAACAAGCACGTGAAGAAACGGGAAGTGACGACAAACATGACAAACACGAGTTATCCTACTATATAACTGACTGAGTAGCGAGCGATAACAGACACGCGATCAAATTTCATTTCACTGATCATTCAGTTGAAGATGAAAAGTTATTATATGAGACGGTGAGAGGATATCTGATAATTCAAAAAAAGAATTGGCTGTCATTAGATAAAAGATAACGAACAAATTAGAAAAAGTCCGTGAATTACCATGTTTTTATTAAGAACAGAATTAATAAAAACGGGGGAATGCACGGGATTTTTCTATTTTTCTCATTTTCCCTTATCTAGTGACAGCCAATTATATTTTTGAAATGTGAGAAACCCTCTCACCGTCCCATATAATAACTTTTCAACTTCAACGGAATTATCAGTGGAATGAAATTCGATCGTTTGTCTGTTATCGCTCGTTACTTCATTCAGATATATAGAAGGATAACTCGTGTTTGTCATGTTTGGCGTCACTTTCCGTTTCTTCACGTGCTTGTTACACATCTCCCGTAGCAATGTTCTCTGTGCTAAAATTATATTTGGAATGTATTTAACCAGTTTATCACATATGTAATTATGACTGACAGCAATATTGTCCTTTAAATAAAGAAAAACACAGCTATGAACTTATGTAAACACCAGTGAATACTCAATTGGGGTCACGTTGTTTTGCACATTTTGTTAGTGTGTCGTTCAAAATTTCGCGGCACACTTAGGAAGATCTCGCGGCACACCTGTGTGCCGCGGCACACTGGTTGAGAATCACTGATCTATGAGATCGCTATTGCTGAAGTTACCCAATAATAAGAATAAATGATATGAATAAATATGAATAATGATATTATATGAGATTAATGTATATTCACAAGGACATGAGATATGACTTTATCGTAAATAAACGAAAAATACGTGGATATCACGATAAGTACGATAATTTTCACATAATAAAATGTGACCATAAAGGGCTATGTAAGATAGTACTTACAATATATGTTATGAGTAAAGGTATGTGATTTAAGATATTAATTAAAAATAATGTGAATATGATTTAAATATATATCATAAAGATATATAAATATATCGTAAACATCCTTATGAATATGATTTAACTATATCGTATAGATATGTGAAAGTGATTTAAATATACCAAATATATGTGAATTTGATATAAATATATCGTAAAGATATATGATTTAATTATATCCTAAGGATATACATAATTGGGAGGATAATGGATGTGTTCAACAAACATCCAGATCACAAATAAGGCAAATGTTTCGTGATCTATTTTTTACAGATGAACGTCATAAACCAACCAGCATATACTATCAAACCAAGTCCGGTAGTCTGAAGTTCGTCTGTGAAACCAGTAAAAAGAAGAGCAACTGGAGAATCCGTTTGGCTCACTTGGAGAAACTGGAAATATAAAGCCAGCGCAGATAACCATTGTGTACTGACAAGCGACATCTGAACAACAACAACCATCAATTATAAGGATGACAAACATTATTCCATTATTCAGTTACTAGACATTGCAGAATGCAGGAAGAAATAGAGAATAAAAATCATTAATGTGTGTGTTTAACGGGTCCGTGTCAAAACCCCCCTCGGGTCAAAACCCCCTTGGTCAAAACCCCCTAGGTCATAACCCCCTTGGACTTAAATTAAAAACGGACACCCCCCCCCCCTTTTTATTTATTTTTTTTTTATTAATTTATTTCCTTTATTTATTATTATTTAAAAAAGATATTTCAAAAATAAAATATTATTATTTAAAAAAAAATATGATGACCAACTAAGACAATTGACCACACAATTAACATAACATAATCTGCTTTTTACTAGGAATAACATAGCCTCAGTTATTGTAATCATTCAAGTGAAATGCAATTATCTTATCAATTTCAACTGAAGTCATGGCACTACAATTTTAAATCTCCTATACCACCCCTATCCCCAGCAGAACTCTGGAACGTTCATCTGACAACACTTGGTGGCGGGTCTCGCACTAACAATCTATGCGAGTCTTGGAACAGGGTGTTCAGTTCCCTGCTGGGAATATCAGGCCCCACAATCTGGCAGACTCTCGAACATCTCGGTCAGGATCACAGCAATGTCAAGACTGCACTCTTGCAATACTCACGTGGACAACCACCCAAAAACAACAAATGATCTACAAGAAAGACTTTACAACTTGTGTGCAAACCATAAAAGGTATTGGGCACACCATCCGATGGAAATAATTTCACCCATATAATTGCAAATA